CCCCGGCGGACCCTCCGGGGCGGGGAGAGCGGGCGCCCCGAGCCTGTTCTCCATGGCGGCCTCGGGAGCTGCAGGCACCGGCTCAGCTGGCGTGCAGAAGAGATGCGGCGCACGAGTGAGGGAAGGCGCCTGAGACCAGCAGCCACCCGAGCCTGTTCTCCATGGCGGCCTCGGGAGCTGCAGGCACCGGCTCAGCTGGCGTGCAGAAGAGATGCGGCGCACGAGTGAGGGAAGGCGCCTGAGACCAGCAGCCAGCCTGTGCGCCGCGCAGGCGGTGAGAGCTGGTGCTGGCGGCATGACCCTGTTCGAAGGGCTCTTCCCCCCATGGAGGGATGTCGAAGATACTTGGCTGCTGTGTTCTCCTGGAGGCTCTGCTGTTTTCCTGGGCTCTGAGCAGCAGCTTTCCTGCTCCTTGCCTTGGGCACCGACTCGCTCTGTCTGGAGGAGATGGCAGATTGTGTCTTCTAGTATTTATTTCTTCATGGCTAAGATTTCCAAGACCTGCCAGTCTTCTGCAGTAGAGGTGAAGCCACAGAGATTTCAGCGGTCTCCAGGAGTGGAAAATTTTTTTTGGAGAGGCACTTCCTGCCCTCTCCCTCTAGGAATGGTCCAACAGCTCCCTTTTCCTCCCCACTCCTCCAGGTAAGGGGCAAGTGGGCAGCATATGCCCAGAAGCAATAAAGCCCCGTCGAAGCAAGCCCAGGCTGTCCTGGGCTCGGTGTCTGGAGTGGGGAGCAGTTCCTGATGCTGGAGCGAGCGCCTGCGCTGGCTCCGACAGTGATTCTCCCACCTCCTTATCACACTCCACTCTCGAGCGAACTTCTTGGGCAGACTCAGCGCTGTGGAGCAGAGCAGAGCACTCCCTCCACCAAAGCTAACTGGCACTTGTTGGGGGCTGCGCTAGCCTTGGATGTAAATACTGAGTTGAAATAAAAACAAATTTAAAAAATTTCTTTTAAAATAAAAAATAAGCATCCTTTCAGTCCCTGGGGCCAGTGGCTGGGAGGGTGGGATGGATGTTGCTGTTGTGCAGATTTAACGAAGTTCAGGAGATTTGTTGAATTTACTAGAAGTGCAGCAATTGTCCAAAAACAGTGCTGAGGAAGGGTGTGAGCAAGAGAATTGTAGCCTCTGAGCTTTCAGCGTGTGTCTCAGAGGGACTCAGAGCTGTCTCTTGAATCTCCGATCAGCCTTTGGATCTTCCAAAGGCTCCTGCAAGCCTAGGTTAGGGAATTGTGTCAAGACAACAAAATGTGTCTGCAAACTCATCCGCCAGCCCTCTGAGCTGGGGAGAGAGACCTGGGCTGGCTTCCTCAGCCCAGCCGGAGGAACCTCGGCCCCGTGCTGCCGCCCTCCGCCCCGGGCAGTTTGTGGAGAAAGCCAGCGCAGAGAGCACCACAGGTTGGAAGAGACCTTACAGGTCATTGAATCCAACCAGAAACCTACCACCAGCGCAAGGCTCCCAGCAATCAAGTGTTTATTTTTTTTTTATATACCTGAGGAGTTTGCAGAGGAAGAGGTTTCTGCAGGCAAGGAACGGGTGTAACCCGGGAGGGCTGCAGCGGGCTAGATCGCTGCTCGCCTTCCTTGGTGTGACTGATCCCAAACCAAGCGGGGCTGGAGCCTCTCCAAAAGGCACAGCCCGCGCTCCCGCTGCGAGGGGAAGCTCTTCATTTAAATGCCAGAAGAGGAAGCTGCTGTTTGAGTCAGGGAGGGGATTTCTCTCCGCAGAACACGAATGCTTTTGATCTCTAGGCTTGAGCTAGCAAAGGATTACGAATCCCTGCCCTGTTCGTTCTCCGTGAGCCCTGGACTGTGCTTCCCTCGGCGTGGGGGATCTGTCCGTGACGGGGAGCGGGGGGGAAAGACCTGCAGCCCAGGGGACCGGCGGGGCCAAGATGTGGCCCGTGGGGCCGAGATGTGGCCCGTGGGCTTCCCCGGGGCGCGCCCAAGCAGATGGCGCTCCTGCTTCGCGCGTCGCCCGCCGCCC